TGAGGGTGATATTGAGAAGACGGCATTTCGAACACACGAGGGCCATTACGAATATCTCGTGATGCCTTTCGGGTTAAAGAATGCTCCATCAACGTTTCAGTCACTAATGAACAACATCTTTCGTTCTTTCTTACGAAAATTTGTGTTAGTGTTTTTTGATGATATTTTGGTGTATAGCAGGGGGGTAGCTGAACACGTGGAGCACTTAACACAAGTATTGGAGGTCCTTAGACAAAATAGTTTGCAAGCCAATTTCAAGAAATGCAGTTTTGGTCAAGCAGAGTTGGAATATCTTGGTCATATCATTGGCCAGGAGGGGGTGAAAACAGATCCATGCAAAGTGGCAGCTATTAAGGAGTGGCCCAAACCTGTCAATTTGAAGGGACTCAGGGGATTCCTCGGCATTACGGGGTATTACAGGCGCTTTGTCAAGAATTATGGTATGATAGCAAAGCCTTTGACCCAACTCTTGAGAAAAGATAAGTTTAAATGGGACCAGCAGGCTGATGATGCTTTTGAAGAGTTGAAACGGGTGATGATGCGGCTGCCTGCATTGTCCCTACCTAATTTCGAAAAACAATTTGTGGTGGAGACCGACGCTTCAGGCATTGGGATGGGTGCAGTGCTCATGCAAGATTCCTTGCCAATTGCATTCCTCAGCCAAGCTTTTTCAGAGGCTGCCCGCAAGCTATCTGTCTATGAAAGAGAGCTCAAGGCTATAGTGGTGGCAGTCCATAAATGGCGTCATTATCTCATGGGGAATAAATTTGTCATCCGCACGGATCAAAAAAGCCTAAAATTTCTTACTGAGCAAAGGTTGATGGCAGAAGGTCAACAGAAGCTGGCAGCCAAGTTGTTAGGCTTTGAATTCGAGATTCAATATAAACCGGGTGTGGAAAACAGGGCAGCTGACTCACTCTCAAGGGTAATGGAATTTAAAGGGATCACCTTACTGTCCAGCCCAGACTTGTTGTTGTTGGCTGATGAGTGCTCGAATGATGAGACAATTCATCACATGATGTTGGATATTGTACAGAACTCTGAGTCACACCCAGGGTATACGGTCAGTAGAGGGTGTTTATGGTTCAAAGGAAGACTGGTGGTTCCCAAAGACTCTCCACGCAAACACATTCTGCTTCAGGAATTTCATGCATCACCATGGGGAGGACATTCTGGTGAATTACGCACTTTTAAGAGAATTTCAGCATTGTTTCATTGGAAAGGCATGAGGCAGGAAGTGGCAGCATTTGTACAAGCTTGTACCATTTGTCAACAACAAAAATATTGTCAACTCTCACCGGCAGGACTGTTGCAGCCACTGGGAGTTCCTAATCAAGTATGGGAGGAAGTATCTATGGATTTTATTGGGGGCCTGCCGAAATCTCAAGGGAAAGATACTATTTTTGTGGTGGTGGACCGTCTCAGTAAGTATGCCCATTTAATTTGTCTTTCACATCCCTTTACTGCTCAACATGTAGCTGATGTGTTCATCAGTGAAATAGTGCGTTTACATGGGTTCCCCAAGGCAATCGTATCTGACCGTGACCGTATATTCATCAGTAATTTTTGGAGGGAGCTTTTTCGTTTGGCAGGTACTAAATTACGGTTCAGCTCCGCGTATCACCCACAAACCGATGGTCAAACGGAGGTGATAAATCGGACAGTGGAGACATACCTTCGCTGTTTTATTGGACAACACCCTAAAGGTTGGGTTAAATGGATTCCGTGGGCGGAATTCTGGTTGAACACCTCATATAATCGTTCCATCCACATGACACCGTTTCGTGCTTTATATGGTAGAGATCCACCCATGATTGTTCAGCTGGGGTCTGGCCAAACCAAATTGGATGCAGTAGACCAATTAATACGTACCAGAGATGATATCTTAGAGGAACTCAGACACAACCTCTATCAAGCTCAACCTCAGATGAAGCTAGTAGCAGATAAGAAGCGCAGGGATGTGGTGTATGCAGTGGGGGACCACGTATATCTCAAGATTCAACCTTATAAGCTGAAGTCTTTAGCTCGGCGTGTCAATCAAAAACTGAGTCCAAGATTTTATGGACCTTTTGAGATTATTAAACGAGTGGGCCCGGTGGCGTATGAGTTATCTCTTCCTGATTATGCTAAAATACATCCTGTCTTCCATGTTTCACAATTGAAACGGGTTGTTCATCCAGGGGTACAGGTTATGCCATTTCCTCATTGTTTGTCTGATTCTTTGGAGATGCAGGTTCAACCCGCGGAGGTGATAGACAGCCGCAGACTTGTGGGTGGGCAGTTGGAAATCTTGGTCCAATGGGAGGGGTTGCCAGAGTGTGAACGTTCTTGGGAAGATTTACATGCCTTCCAAGCTTTGTTTCCACATTTTCACCTTGCGGACAAGGTGAATGTTAAGGAAGGGGGTATTGGTGAGGAGCTGAAATATGTGTACAAAAGAAGGGAGAGGAGAAGAAACCAACACAACCCAATAGACCCAATAACAGTGGACTTCGCACAAGCAGATGATGGGCCAAGGGCAGAGAGCCCAATAGACATTCAAACAGCTAATGGACCATGGATGGCAGAGGCGGAGGAGCAAGAGCAAGTGCAAGTAGTCAGCATGGGATGCAGTGATAAGGGAGAGCACGTATCATAGTTGGTTATAACCAATTGTGGGAAAAGGGGTGAGGAGTTTGTTAGAGGAGAGAGAGAGTAGGAGGAATGATATAAGCAAGGCGTTTGTAAGAGAGTGGGTGTTAGAGGAGAGAGAGAGTAGGAGGAATGATATAAGCAAGGCGTTTGTAAGAGAGTGGGTATGCATAAAAATATTATCCAATTCAGTGATGAATTGTGGGGAAGGGTACTGTGGAGTCCCTTAGGTGTTCTTTTAATTTCGGTTATAATTTGTCTTTTCTTTCAAGGCTGAATCAGCCATTGTAGTGCTTACTGATTGAATTGTTCGACTGAATGTGCCATTTCAATTGAATCTGAGTTCGTTTCTTTTAATTCCAAATTGTGGTTTCATCAGTCATCCAAACAAATCATCATTATCTCCATCCACAGTTCCGCACTGCTTGGATTATTGTCTGGCTTTCCATATAACATATACCCTTCCCCATCCTTGCCCGGAGAAGCTTGTTCAACATTACTGACTGACAGGTGAATATGCCAAGGAAGACCCAACTTTGGCAGAGAATGACTCTCCATAAAGGTCATCATCATAAATCCCACCTTTTGTTGGTATTTTGACCTTATTTTAAAACTTCTGGTAGCTTATGAGTTACACCTCTCTGGGATGAATCTGGGTCCTAAGGATTAATGTAACCTGTACAAGACATTAATATGTTCCATTCCTTCTTTAACACCAACAGGACCAGGTTCTGTTTCTACATCTGCACCATCTGAAACCTCAACCAACTCTCCTTTAACATGATCCCAGAAGGCAACTCTTTTTGTATTCCTAATTCTCTGCAATGACATGCAAAAAGAAAATAACAAAACATATCCATTATGCACGCAAGGACATGTCAATTTCTGTCATTCACTCAAGGATGATAGTAATTTATTTTCCCTCTCAAGTCTCTATGTGGCTGGCTTACTGAAACATCAAGTTCTGAACTTTATATGTGAAATATTTTCAATCTAATATCTACGAAAGTATTGCCCTGAAGTACCTTCTAGTTGACTTTTAACCTATATACAACAATCTGCAAAAAAAATTAGGCAATTGCAAACCCGTAATTGGACATACATACATACATGATGCATGTCATGTACTATGACTTAGTATAATTGATTTTGATAAGAGAATCGTAGAGAATACAGTACAGGGGTCTTAGACTATGCAAAAACTTAACAAAGCAAAGAGCCAAATTTCTTACAACAGAAACCTGTTGGAATGCTACATTAAATTTTATTCACTTGTGTAACATCCCGGGCGCTGACGAAGGCGGGGAGTGATCGCCGGTGCGCAAGGGCACGGACAAGGAGCGGCTTCTGGCAGGCTTCTAGGGACGGGGGTACATGAATGAATCGAATCAACACCCGAAAGAGAGGGATTCCAGAGACTGTGCTGGTATGGGACGGTACAGTTGGGAATGACTTATAAGAATTAATTGGTACTACCTATACTAACAAGATGCATCTACTTTTCGGTAGCCCGGATCGGAAGAACTCCACAGTTAAGCGTGCTTGACTTGGAGCAATTCAGGGATGGGCGACCTCCTGGGAAGTTTTCCCGAAAAGTGTGCGAGTGAGGACAAAGCACGCTGAAAAGTCTCGTGTTAGTGTGTGGGGACAATCGTTGATCCTTGCAAGTTGCCAGACGTTACAACTTGCACCTACGCATAATATTCTTTTTCATTGCATCTCCTTCAACTATGAGCTACCAAAAAAATTTCGGTCATTTATTCAATTTCTGTTGTTTAATCGTCCACTCTCTCTTGTTCATGGCTTAAATTTGCCTTTACCTTATTAGAAGTTGGCTATTTGCGATGCAATACAACTTCTAGACATTATAACGATTTTTATTTTATTCTATTTTCTTCAAAAAAACTTCTCTCTCTTTTAAAGAGACTATGTGGAATTGTAGAAGGTTTTCTAGATATAGCAGTACATATACATCCAATTCTATCAATGTAAAGCATACATATTCTATATTCCCATTATTATGTCGTTGGTCCAGTTGCTGCTCATGGTAATTAAAATCAATATTTTATATAAAATCAAAAGGAGAATAAAAAATTATAAAACATAAAAACATTTGGAATATTGATAAAATAAATCAAAATTTTAACTATTATGTTGCTGCTAGTAAACAATAGACGTGTCATGAGAACAATATATTATGCTTTCGCAAATTAAAATGTGCAATTGCAAGAATTCCAATTACTCTTTTTGATTGTTTACAACAATCATACCTATCAAAACTCTTCACAATTGCCGAGTAAACATTTTGTCACCTATCCTTTTGAAACAAAGACAACATTAGCTATGATACAAGATACATGACCCTTGTTTAACAAGATGTCAATTTATCATCTAAAAGTGACAATATACAACAAACGCAAAATTTGGATTGCTAGCAACTGCTGATGCAATCTGAATATCGTCCGCCAGAATCCAACTAGTCATTTACAACAGAACAGTTAGTAATATCTCCAATCAGTAATCTGGTTTGAACAATTTTTGGTAGCAAATAAGCATCTTTATAGCTGAACAATTTTAAGCATCATTAAAGCTGTGGTTCTATCGCCCTTGAAATTGAAAGAAAAGAAGTAATATCTACCATGTTCAGATCAGCAGTTCACCCGTAGATTACACCGCTAGCAGGTTTAATGATGTTAGGATTGTTATGCAAACCAACCCCAAACAGCACAAACACATGGACCTTAATCTGAAGCCATCATATATTCCAATCTGAGCTGAAGAATTGAAATATTATTTGTTAGTTCTGAAAGAAGTGTGTAATGATGCTGCGAGAATATCAGCTAGCTTCCTTAATTGTATAAGGTCAAATTCCGGAAGATTCATTCGCTATTTTGCCAAAAACTCCTTCTCAACTAAACTGAAGGTCAGCTTTAAACGTTCTTGTAGATTTTTTAGGATGTTCTTCGTAATCCTTTTCTGATGTTTTGTACTTTTCAGCCATTCAATTCCAAACAAAACCTGTACTTTACATCCCTTTGCTTTCGGGGGTAAATCATCAATATGATAGCAAAGGCGCAGCTGTGGAATATTATTAGAAGACAATAGTCAATGATGGTACAGAAGATGAAAACTAACAGGAAGATGACAAAAACAGGAAAATCCTAGAAAACAAATAAGTGGGCAACGGCAATTCCGATGAAGGTTCAGACCCATTATGCGGATCTATAGTAGGTAGCCTTATCTTAACAATTGCAAGAGGATAAAAGTTTAGGAAAAATCTAAATTTGGCTTACTCACATTGAAATAATCACCAAGAGGAACTCCATGGAAGTTCATAACCTCTTCCAAACGCCAGCCCTTACCATCCAAAAGAGTTCTTTGCTGAGTACTTGTCACTTCAACTCTATAACGTGAAATACGTTTCTCAAATTTGTAATATACTGCCCTCTCATAGACATTGCTATTCTCAGATACCCAAGGGGTATAAGAATAATCAACACAACCAGAATTTTCCATGACCCTGCGGTCCAACTCACCCCCACTGAATAGCTCCATCCAGAAACTGGCCTAAATTAATTAAAGGAAAAAAACTATAATCAAACACAAACATTGGTGAAGTTATACCCAAAAAAAAAAAAAGGAACCAATGATTTGCAGTGAAAAGGAGAGAGAGAGAGAGAAAGAGATTACGGGAACAGGAAGAACACAAGAATAAACCTCAGACATGCTAACTTCATCAAGGGCAAGGAATGACCCACTCTCTTCACTGGTAAGGCTTTTGGTATCACAGTCTTCTTCAACTAACTTGACCTTCTGTTCAGGACTCAAGGATCTGGCTTTCCAGAGAGCCATGATGGTCCTATATCAGCACCAGATAAGATATCTTATAATGTAGTTGATCACTATTAACTTCACAGATAATTTCTTAAAAGCATCTTACGAGAAGTTGGACGACCAAATATAATCGGAAGAAAACATTATGAGATATTTCTTATAACAAAGCATTCAAAGTTCACAATTCTTGTGCTACACAAACAATTATGGAACCACACCTTGGTCAACATGAAACAAAAAATCACAAATTGGCAGGGTTTTTCTTCCTCAGCCATCAATAAGTAACTTGATCTTGTACAACTGGGTAATGAAAGAAATGAAAATTACTCATAAGCACATCAAACAAATTACTTCCACACTATTTTTCTAGTTCCATGAAATTACAATTAGATATAAATTTACTTACCAACTAACCTACAAATACCTATAAAATAAAAGACTTCTGTACTCTCTAGTACATTACAATTCACAACAATGAAAGATATAGATAGAAGTTAACAATATTCATTAGAATATCAAGATATGAATCAACCAAAAGAGTTACAATTATGAACTGTCAATACTGACATCTTTCACATAAACTGCCTATCAAAACGACAACTGTTAATGGACCATTGAAGTTGGCTTATGGGCGTAAGAAGTGGGGGAAGAGCAGGGTTCAGGATGATCAGCCCAAGGAGCTAACCAAGACCAATAGTGATAACAGCAAAGGATTAGAAGAAAAGAAAGAGAAGAATGCTGTTATAGGGAATTACACATGGCAGGCGGTGAATGGTGAAGAGAATGTGGGAGGAGAGTAATGAGAAGTTAGTTATAAGGAGAGAGAGTGAGGATTAGGGGATATCGAAGAATTGAATAGAATTTTCGAGGAATGAAAGTCGATGAGGATGGGGTGCAATTCCTTGTTGAGGGAGTTGGTCTTTGGGGTTATTTTTTCATGGTGTTTTTGTTATGACCCCATTTGTAAGGTATGGGACTTGAAGTCCCACATTGGTTGTATGGGCAACTAATGTAGGGTTTATAAGCCTTAAACACTCTCACCCTTTGAGCTAGCTTTTGGGGTGATACACCTCAAGGTTCTTATCAAATGGTATCAAAGCCTTCCACAATGTCTCCCGATTGGAATCAAGCGGCACGGGTGGTGACGTCGGCATTACAAGGTTTACTCGGGTCTAGTAAAAGACTAGCACAAAGTCAATCTGCGTGGGCGCCGGGGCTGCGGAGCGTGGTGGAATGTTAGAGACCCGTTTGCAAGGTATGAGACTTAGAGTCTCATATTGATTGTATGAGCAACTAATGTGGGGTTTATAAGACCTTGGGTACTCCCACCCTTTGAGTTAGCTTTTGGGGTGGTGCATCCCAAGGTTCTTATCAAATGGTATCAGAGCCTTATACTATGTCTCCCAGTTGCAATCGAGCGGAGCAGGTTGTGACGCCGGCATTGCAGTGTTCGCCCTGGGCTAGTAAAAGGCTAGCGCAAAGCCAGCCAGTGTGGGCACCAGGATTGCTGAGAATGGTGGAATGTTACGATCTCATTTGCAAGGTACGAGACTTGAAGTCCCACATTGGTTGTATGGGCAACTAATGTAGGGTTTATAAAGTCTTGAGCACTTCCACCCTTTGAGCTATCTTTTGGGGTGGTGCACCTCAAGGTTCTTATCAGTTTTCTGCTTTCCACCATTGTAGTGTCTGTGTAATTCTCAGCAGAGTCTTACAACATTTTCTGGCAAGGAGCCATTGAGTTGTGGGTCAGTTTTCTTTGATGTTGTTGGTTAATTGTTTGGAGTCATTTGCTGTAAGAGTTTATCCTTCTGATTTTCCAGTAATCAATACTACTTCTGTTTCTTGTACCATCAAAAACAAATAAAATATATCAACCAAAATGAACATGTACCAGTGTTTTATAGACCCTAAAATACATGGGTAAAGAAAAAATAAGTAAAACAGGGAACAAAGTACTAAGTTGCAGTCTTGCAGATAAGCAGACAAGTATATGGAAGAAATAAGCTTGTATAATTATAATAACTTAAAATTTCTTGTCTACCTGTGTGCAACATTGAAAGACACAAAGGACTGGAAATTGTACTTCAGTCTGCCTTGTTCATCTTGTGTTTTTGCACCATGCCTTGCATCCACACCTCTTCCCTGCCGAAGAGTTATGACAACTATCGGACTGCCCATTGATGAAAATGTAGGAGGAATGACCTGAATGTCTTCAATGTCCTCCCAAAGCAAAAAGAATTTTGTCTTGTGTCCAAACAAATTCGCATGAAATCCAAGTATTCTTGCCGAAACAAATAGCCGGCCCTGCAGGGAACCATTGGCAACTTGATGAGATAATACCAAAGAAGCTTGTGCCAGTTAAAACCAAAATAGAAATTGACCACGCTTTTCAAACATCACATAACAGACCAACCGAACCTGCAGGGGCATTTTTCTTTTCAAATGACAGGTGAAGTCATTGATGAGAAATTCCTCAGGTGGAAGACCAAAGAGTTTCTGAAAGGCTGAATTTGTTTGAGGAGACCGCAGATTAATCTACAATTTTGTAAATAGGGGAAAAAAATAAACCAAATAGGGTGAATAAAACAGGAGTAAAACACAAAAAAGAAAAAACAACCAAATCCCTGGCAACATAGATGGATGCATACCTTCTTCCCCACCTCTTTCTCCATTTTACTTATATAGTGTTTTACAACATTCCCACCTCTAGTGTTATCCAAGAAAATTCTTAAGTGCAACTTAGACTGACATGCCAGAGCCAACTTTCCTTCAAGAGAAACCCATATATCAGCAAGATCTGAGATGTTAGTTTTCAGGAAATTGATTTCAGCACGTCCTAGAGATGCAACTTCATCAAAGGGTCCATCAAAATCATAAACTTCCACATCCAGCACAGAAGGAGGGTCATCCATTGCATCAAATTCAAATATTTCTGCAAAGATAGACAATTTTCTTAACAAAGAATACTTTATCATCCAATAATCGAGATCAAATGTAGGGCAAAACTAGACTTATGTGTTAGAGAGATCACTGGAGGTTCAGATTTGAGTTATAAGAACAACCAAATGAAAAATGATATGATATTCACCATTCCATAAAGGATCAGATTTCTTGAACTTGATTGAGCTGGTTCTTGTTTTCCCATTGCAAGTGAACACCACATATGGATCACAGAACCCACTAGAATCAACAGCAGCTAAATTGCTTCCTTCAATTAAGGCCACTGTTAGCAGCCATCCATCTCCTTGTGCTTTAATTCCATGATCACTACCTAATATTGGAGTACCGGAAACGGATAAAAAAAAAAACTATATAAGCACCAAATTATGGAAATAAGGGCCAAATAATTAAGAAACAAGAGAGAAACAAACTCACGGTCACGACATTAAAAAGCAATAATAATTCAGGAAATAAGGAAAGCCAGATCGATTAATTTAAACAAGTAACTGATGAAAATTTCCATGTCCGGACTACCCTAGCATTTATCAGGCTCATATTACTTCCTCCATAAAATAAAAGGATTTAGCAATCACAAAAGGGCATTCCAATCACTCGCATACCCTGTTACTATACTTGCAAATATATCTTGTAATAGCAGGAATTTTGGGAATGTAATGATTCCATGAAACATTTAAGCTTACATTAGGCCTATTGTACTCTGTAGGATAAACATAATTTTTTTCGTGCATATAAGCTACGTCAAGCTTTATTTCCTAATGCTTGTGTGATGTATTTCTAGAGTTCGTTGTCCTTTTTGAGGTATAACCTGGCAATTTTTGGAATGAATCTTTTTCTATTTTTGATGAGCAGAAGGACTTTCCAGATATTTTGAAGCTTGTTAGATATATAGGGATGTTTCAGTTAGTCTATTGGTTTAGTTCCGAATCTTTAGCTTTATGTGTTATTATTCTATATTATTTTGTACCACTGTAAAAGCTTGTAAAACAAGCTCTCTTTACTTAATGAAATTCAGAGCTGAGTGTCTGCACAAGACAAGAACTCTATTCTTCACCTTTAGGTTTATCTCTGTGTTAATAGAGCTCTTTCCCAATAAGTATAAGGCTTTATGGAATTCAATTTTGTATGCACCAATCATGTATATAGATAGAGCATAACTTGGCTTTTTAACCAATGATTTATTGCTCCACATCTTTTATGGGAAAGGGTAAAGGTATCCTTATGCGTTTTAGGCTTTTAGCCCATGATTTTTTAAAAGGCAATCCTCGATGGACTCAGACTCAGAGAGAATATAGAAATTTCTTATAAGTTAATATACTTCGCTCTTTACTGCAGTTCGACTTCCCTTGTTTTCTGTTTTTCTTAGGAGGATCTGTTGTTCACCAGCTTTTATTTTTTTTCCTCTTTTAATGCATTACTCTTTGACCAATAGAAAAAAACAACAGAATTTTCATTTGCTCTGATATACATCTAGGGTGTTTAAATTCAAGTGAATTCTCAAATTAAAAGATCATTAAAAAAAGGAAATTATAGGATTACCCTTATGTGCTCTGGCCTGCATGAAGCGTGAGATTAAACCCAGCACTCGTTCACCTTGAAGAACCAAGACTCCACAAACAACAAATTCACCAATTGAATCTGGCAAGTCCAGTCCAACAAACTCAAGTCCTTGAATCGTGCCAGGAGCAGCCAGCCAAATATGAACAAGCACGTACAACCCCATTAAGAATGTTGAGATGACCGTGAAGTTAGCAAAATACTGCACTGCCAGCTTCCAATCTGACTGGGGCTCTGCCGCCTGTAACGATGCCAAAGCTTGTTCCTTGCTGGAACCAAGGTCCTTTGACTCAACATGCTTAATAGTCTGAGATAACAAAATGGCATACTGATCAAAGCTTTCTTTCATACCTTGCCGAGCTCCATTTTCTATCACTCCCTTCATCATTGTGCTCTGTAAGAAATTCATTCGCCATGATATCACCAGACGTGAACACTGTTCTCCTGATGGCAACTCTGGTCCAGGTGTGATCACATAAAGTAATTCGGCCCTAAAGGTGCTGCCATACATAACATCTGGAGTGCTGACACTGGCCAGAACAGCAAAGTTCTTCCCATCAGCTTTTAAATATGTCTGTTCCTCATAGCCTTTGACAGCCCTAATTAATTTAGAGGCAGCCTTTATGTAAGTAAGTGATCTTTTACAGCTCTCCCCACCATTTTCTAACTTCCAAGGACCTATTTGAAGTTCTGTGGTCCCCTGTACATCTGCCAATGACTTGGGAAAATTAGAATCGGGTGAAAATAGTAATATGTTCAAGTCTTCTGGTGCAATAATATATAATTGATCTATAAGCACCCCTCCAGGTAAATTGCTAGGAATTTCACTTCCTTGATCTGCAGACTGCATTTTTCTCATAACTTCTTCAAGAGAGTCATTAGAGGACTGATCCTCAGTCTTGATCTCACCAACTTCAGTTTTATTTGTTTCAGATTGGTCCAAATCAATGCTTCTACCGGGTGAAATTGAAGACATATCAGGACCTTTATTAAAAATTTGAGCAAGTCGGCCAGCAAGTGTTTTTTGTGGACAAGATTTCTCATCCTTTGAACACATAATTTCTTCCCTTACTGGAGAAGATGAATTTGAACGGCCAGTGGAAGATCTTGAAAGAGAATCAGTAGTTGCATCGGAACATTTTCTTGGACATAATAACTGATCACCAATACCATTTGACTCCACGGAAGCATTATTTTGGAAAAGAGATATACTCAAAAGAATCTCACCTGTCCAAAAAGAAAGGAATTGTCACAATTTAAGTTCAATAGCATGATCCATATATGCACGTTCACAGTTAGCGAGCACATTATTTTCCAAAAGGACTTAATACAAATGACCCTTTGAGATGTAAAATCCAAAGTCTCAAATTGGACGTAATGCAATTTACACCCTGTGATCAGTCATATAAACTGGCATGAAACCAATATAACAACAGCATGAATTTCACACAAGAAAATAAACAAACAAGCAAACTGAGAAAAGATGAAAAACGGGGAGTAGGGGAAGAATGGAAAAAAAAAAAAAAAATGCCATACAAATGCCAAGTAAGCAGTAAACAATTAGATAAGGGTTGAGGTGAGTTTAGCTGAGCAGTATAATATACCACATTCCTTGTTCTTGGACTTCTTGTTTTTGGGTCTCAAAGAATACCAAGCATTGCCAAGGGATTTAATTTCCTCATCAAAAACATGTGAGACAGGCACTTTAAGCTTTCCCACCAAGTCATGATTAAAGAACTTATCATCATCTATGACAGAGATAACAAGCTTTTCTTTAAGGTCGTCAACCCAAAAAGTAAACTGTTGATCCCACTTAGGTTCCAAACTCTTCTTGATCACCTTGGTCCTGAATCTCTGCTTTCCCATCTTTAACCGCACGTACAGATCACTTGACCCATTGGGATCCGTGGCTACCAAGTTTTTTGCCTCAATCACACGAACCACGAGCTTCATTATATAATAACTATAATCTATACCCAAAAATGTCAACTTTTTTTAAAAACAGGGCAGCCCAGAAAGATCTTTCAGAAAGGGCAATGCAGAAGGAGAAAATTATTTATTATAAAAAATTAAAAAACAGAAACGATTGAATGCGCGAAATCCAGAACCAAATTGATCGACACAGCTCAAACGCATCATTTTGGAAGAAGAAAAACCATCCCAGGAATCAGACAGAAGAACAAGTATGTATAAATAAATAAATAAATATTGATTCTGCCAGAAAATTTAAAAAAGGTCATTTTAATATTAATTTTTGTTACAAATTCATCACCGATGTTTTACACAAATGGAGAAAACCGAAACGTGACAAAAAAAAATAAGGAATTTTAAGAGCGGACACTCGGAGAATCAAACCCTAACAAGACCCAGATTATTTGGATGGTTGGAAATAAAAAAAGAATATTTAATAATGGAAAAAATTGAATATCAAAATTGGAAAGAGAGAGAGACACGCGGAATTGGGCTCAATCAATAACTCTGTTTCTTTTCTTTCGCATTTAGTATTGGCGGTGACGGCCACCGCGCGCGTATCATGCAAGAGCAAGACTATTATATTATATCTTGCAATCATCAATAATATACTCTTCCTATGCTATGTTGCTAATAAAAAAGTCCTATATACTTTTCTTCTTCTTCTTCATTTTTTGTGATAAAATCCTACACTACAGCATAGTTTATATAATAAACGAGGTCAACAAATAATATATAATAAAAGAGCAATCCAAAAGATAGAAAGATGTCAACGTTTCATGGTTAAGAATTTTATGCTGAGTAAAACAGCAGCATGTCTCCTCTCTCTCAACCTAAATATTGACTTGGTAAATAGAAATTTCCAAGTTTTTTAATACGGTTAAGATTTTTTGGTTGAGAAAAAATCTCTAGTTAGAAGGCATATAATCTACGTTAACTCCTAAAATTTCCCAATATCTTACAAGATAATAGAAATTAATTAAGTAATTTTAACATGGTATTAGGAAATTTTTTTTTTTTAAAATATTTCAATTGGTTCATTACTTCGCAACTAATCCGATTCGAAGTGGATTCATGATGATTAAAGCAACCCCTCTCAAAGGTGATAGGTGATACTAGAGAGATTCAAAGCTCTCACCCTTGCCTACTTAACTCTCGTGCGCCAACTAAGCTATCACCATTTTGTGGTATTAGGAATTAGGATGGTTGTTGTGTGTATTTCCTTAACGGAGCATGTCATCTTGTTTATATATTGGTGTGTTTAATGGGCATTTTCTTCATTTCATCTCTTGAATAGTGAAACGCTATGTTTTGGTTATATACATGTATACCAATTGCAATAGCTGTTAACACCATGAAGAAGAAGAAATTGCAATTGCTGAAGTGTATAATTTTTCATTCGATCAATTTTCACTCCCCTATTTTTCTTCAAAAACCCCATTTGAGAGCTCTGCTGGGGTTTCGAAGTCGAACATGTTAACCCCATTTTCTGTCCATATTATTTGGGTGTTTTTATAGTCTGTGTCTTGCAGAACTCTGATGAAATCTTGGTGGAGGTTCGTGACCCACTGACCCTTTGGAGGTTGGTGGAGATGGTGGTCCATGCAAGATTGGTTCGTGGAAACCTTGCTTTGGATGTTTGCTATCTCTAGATAATAGCTTATATTATTGCTGATATATTTGTTGTTATTGCTGTGTTTGCCATATGGCTAATTTGGTTTGGGTTTCTTATTCGGATATGGGAGAATTTTATTAAATTAATTGGTTTGTAGTTATGCTTTTGTGCACTCTCTTAGGATGCGTTTGGTAGCAGTCTTCCTCTGAAATACCTAGGCAACGGAGATTCGGAATTGAACATTACAATGTTTGGTAGAAGGTTTACCAAAAATATGCCATGAAAATTGAATACCCAGTCATTTCATTTTGTGTGAAAAATTACAGTGATTATATTGTTTTAGAAACTCACATCTCAGGTCGTATTTCGCCCTGGGGAGAGACTTTGACCAAAATAACACGCTTTGAATAATATTTTATCATGCCACGCTCCATTTTGAATTTGGCAAAATGTCATGTTCAATCCCGCTACACCACCAAGCGAGACTGTAAGATGACACGTGGCGGTAAACCATGGAGCCTCATTCTTGCTTGTCTGACAAGCTGGAATGGCTTGTCAATCAACCAGTCTGCACACTCTGAAAAGCAAGACACATGTCATCCTCGCACCATTCGCGCTGGTCAGTCTAGCTGTATTGATTGTACGTTCTGCAAAGCAGGCCACATGTCACCCTACTGCCATTCGCGCTGGTCAACCTAGCTAGATTGGGTGTACCTTCAGACACGTGTCAGCACCCCCTGAATCGCGCTGGGCTGTCTAGCTGGTTTGAGTTGTACTTTCCCGACACGTGTCACCACCCCCTTATTCGCGCTGGGCCTGCCTCCCAGGTGGGGATGCCATGAACCTATAATAAAAAAATTATATTTTTATCCTATATTTTTTTATTAACGCTACTGAAAAAAAAAATTAAATATAAACACAAAACGTGATTACAAATTACGATAATTAACAATCCCTAAATAATATTAAACTAATTATTGTAATTAACATTAACAATGTCTCTTATCCTATAATTTGTTTATTAATAAATACTAATAATAACAACAATATTAAAAAATTACTACCCAAATTACTAATTAAAAAAATTTTAAATCGTACAATTTACTTATTCTACTAATTTATATAATAAAAAATAATTAAATTTTTATCCTATAATTTTTCATTAACAAATGCTACTAATTAAAAAAATATTAAATTTAAATGCAAAATCTAATTACTTATTACGATAATTAACAATCCCTAAATAATATTCAACTAAATATTATAATTAACATTAACAATGTCTTTCATCCTATAATTTCTTTATTAATAAATCATAATAATCACAACAATATAAAAAAACATTACTATCCTAATTACTAATTACAAAAATTAACTCCCCTAAAATTTACTTATTCTACTAATTTACATAATAAAAAATAATTAAATTTGTATCCTATAATTTTTTTTAACAAATGCCACTATTAAAAAAAATAAAATTTAAATACAAAATCTAATTACTAATTACGATAATTAACAATCCCTAAATAATATTCAACTAAATATTATAATTAACATTAACAATGTCTTTGATCCTATAATTTCTTTATTAATAAATCCTAATAATCACAACAATATAAAAAATTACTATCCTAATTACTAATTACAAAAATTTACTAACCTATAATTTATTTATTCTACTAATTTATATAATAAAAAAATAATTATATGTTTATCCTATACTTTTTTATTAACAAATGCTAATACTAAATACAATATCAAAATTAAATACTAAACTAATTAATAATTCTAATAATTAACTACAATACAAAATTAACTTATACTACTAGTTCATCTAATCAAATTATTAATGTCATCTGTCCTATGATTTTTAAACATTTAACATATGCTGATAATTAAAAGAAAAAAGAAATTATTAAATATAAACTAACCTTTCAATGGAGCTGTGGTCCGCAGAGAGAGAGAAAGAGAGTTTTGAGAGAGAAAAATATTGGAAAGATCAAAAAGATTAAAGTGATGGGTCGGTGGTGGGGTTGGGGAGTGGGATTATATAGACGCACAGTTGCACATATCCCGCTTTACTGACAAGCGCGAATAAGGAGAACCAGCCACGCGTACGACATGCATCAGGAAGTCAGGAAGTTGTACGATGTGTACCAATCTAGCTGGTCTGACCAGCGCGAATGGTGGGAACATGACACGTGGCGAATTTTTCAGAACTTTACAGTGTCTGATTGACAAGCCATTCCAGCATGTCAGACCGGCGGGAACGGGGCTCCATGGTTGACCGCCATGTGTCATCTTACAGTCTCGCTTGGTGGTGTAGCGGGATTGAACGTGGCATTTTGGCAAATTCTAAATGGAGCATGGCATACCGGTAAAATATTATTCAAAGCGTGTTATTTTGGTCAAAGTCCCTGCCTGGGGAAGGAAAGAAATAGCGTGAATAAAATGTCCAAAATGACCCTAATGTACGGTTGACAGTCAGCGATGAGTACTTTTCTACTCTTAATTTAACAATGTCCACTTTGGTAATTTAGCAAATTATTCTATCAATATTTTACTTTCTACCAAACATAGATTTTTAAAACTTACTGAATTTACCCGATAATATTTCGTCCTACTAAACAACTTTTTATCTATTTTATCAGTAAATTTATTTACCCCTTATTTCCCTGGTAATTGTATTTACCTGGTTAACAAAAATTTCTCCTCTACTAAACGCCCCTTTAAGAAATTTACTAACTTTATACTTCCGAATAAATAATTGCTGATCTCTACTTATCTATTGCAATCTGCATGCAATCTTATTACAACAAACTTACATCAAGCACACCATCATGCGTGTTAAAAGAGTCGGGAGCTTTGGCCTGTGTAGGCTTGATATAATTTATTTATTTTGGTTGTTGGATACAAATTTGAACTTGTATAAAAACTCATTTAATAAAAGAGATTACAGACTCTAATTCAAAAGTTTGGTCTTATAACCTAGGGAAAAGTGTGTGTCATTTTAAAGGATGTAAAGTTGTGTCATTTTAAAGGATGTAAAGTTGTGTCATTTTAAGAGAGAGAAAGAGATAGATAAAGGAGGAGAGAGAGTTGACAAAAAAATATAAAGGTGTGAGTCCCACCTCTTTGTGAGAGTGAAAGGATGTAAGTTGTGTCATTTAAAAGGATAAACATTTTTCCCTATAACCTATTAGGTTGGCCTCATATACTAACTCTTATTTTTATTTTATATTTTTTATACTACTTAATTATTAAACTCAATCTAATTTTTACTTTCTCTTCGTGGTCCATCATCACTTTACTTTCTCTCTTTCACTTCACTTCATCTCCTCTCTTCGTCTCTCTCTACACTGTCGGAGTCCACACCAGACCAGCACAACCGCAGCAGAGAAGAAAGGTTCACTGAAGGATAAGGTTGGTGGTTGGTGAACTCTAACTAATCTTCTTCTAAACAATTTCTAAGTGAGGATAATTCTCATCTTTCATTTGATGTCTTGGAATGGTGGAAAAACAATAGCATAAAGTATAATATTTTATCAAAGATGACAAAAGATATATTAGTAGTATCAGTCTCTACAGTCGCATCTGAATCGACATTTAGTGCTAGGGGAAGAGTCATTGATGTTTATCGGGCAAGTTTGGCAGAAAATACGATTCAAGTATTAATTTGCGGTGCTAATTGGTTACGTAATAAGTATGGTATAAAAAAATAGATGGTATTAATTTACTTAATTTAAATTCTTTTATATCTTATTATATTATAATTAAATGTCAAAATTAATCTGACTTGCTTTTTGTTTTTTTTATGTAGGAAGAGACAACATCGCAATATATTAAATTGTTTACGCAAAATTTATAAATGATTTTGTTCTATTTTATGCTATTTGGATATATATTGAGTTTATAAATATTTGTAGAATTATTAGTGGTGTTGATCGTGTACTCCATTTCGATAAATTTTTATTGTCTTATTTTTTTTTTTAACAGACTAATTTTTTATAAATAAATCAGAAAACAAACCGATAATTAAATTCAAAATAGGTTACAGGCTAAGCCTATCTAATACATTTAAACACAAATTTAACCTTTTAAAACTAAAATCCAACACAACCTGGCCCGGCCCATTAACACCCCTATGCAACATCCTTGCAATTAGGGGTGTAAATGGGCCAGGCTAGCCCGGCCCGGCCTACATTGAGTCCGGACCAGACCCGGCCTTTCAGAAAAGTAGAGTAGGCTTAGGCTTATAAAAAATCTTTTTTAACAAACAGGTCATAGGCCAATTTTGTCAAGTCCAGCCTACAGCCTTGTAGGCAGGCCTATTTAATTTATTAAAATAAATTAAAATCGATGTTGTGAATGAAGTTTGCTCATCGTAAAATTGAATATTATGAATATTGGTTCGATTCTTGTACGTAATAATAAATCACACGTAACATCCACTCCTAAACTTTGTACCAAAAACCCAAGAGGAAAAAAAAATAGTAATCGAGGCGAATTATAGAAAAGATTTCATTTCAGCTACATAATCTCCCTCTTAGCTTTCAACTATTTTAATTGTAACAGTTCCTTCACGAATTGATGTTTAACATCCTATGTAATTTCTGCTTTGCCAGTTGCTACACATGACTTCTTTAACGTAGCATTAGCTTCGTTCTCAGAAAATGCGAAAACCACCAAATTCAACAGTGGGAGGCCTACAAGGCCTGTAGGCCATGTTAGGCTTTCTTATTTTTAAAAATGGGCCGAGCTTGGCCTACAAATAAAGTCTTTAATAGGTCAGTAGGCCAGATATGCTGAATTTTTTTTAACGTAAACTTGGGCAGTCCAGCCCGTTTACACCCCTACTTGCAATTATTAGGAAAAGCATTGACACATATATTGGAATGCACTACAGGAGCCAATTTTAAAACACAAATTGACACCCAAGTCGGTATCTCTTTGGAACTATCCGATTTGCATTAGAAGTATGACCCTGAATTTTCCGCTAAGATATTATAAAGTGCGCTATTTGTGACACCAAAGATTGTTCCTGAGTGTAAATCTAATCAATGTAAACAACTTTCTCTTTTATAACCAGTTTAACTGTCACCACCAGTTCCACCACAATGTTAACTGAAGTGCATGTTATTTTAACTATAAACAATGAGGCCGGTTATATTGTCTACAATTTTTTTCTTATCACCTCTTTTCTTATCGTTAAATTAAATTCAAATCAACGGTTTTTGTCGTTGTGAGAGCAGATTGAATATGGGTTCTGCAACAAATATTATATGTGAGATGCAGATGTCAATTATCTTATCCACGATTTATTTTTTCTATCTATAATATACATTTTCAAATTAAGGATTCAATGGCAGTTGGGATCTATTGATTTGTCTATTTAGTTTAATTTTTTTTTCGGTAAACATCTATTTAGTTTAATTAAATTTTAAGTTATTTAAACCGCTAATTTTAATTTAATCTAACAGTAAAAAAGAAGTAGTAAAGTAGTAAAAAAAATGATAGACAATATAACAAGCCTCATAAATAATTTTTAGTTTTAGTTTTTTAAGAATAGTAGGGGAAACTCAAAATCCTTTGTAAGGAATGCTTTCACCAAATGACAAACCATGATAAATAAATTAATATTACATTTTAACCTAAAATCTTAATATTAGAGGGTTGATTTATATCTATTCAAGGTGAAACTTCATCGCACTGCTCACACTTCAATTAAAAAAAGAATATAACTGTTTATGCACGCGAGAGGACTGATTCTGATATGATTAATATCGCCGCGCACCTTTATTTGGCGATAAAACTTTTTGTACTGACGGTATTTAAAAAAGGAAAAAATATATTTCTTTTCTTACCTCAGATAAAATTATTTCCCGTAAATTTTTTTGAAATTTGAAAAATAAAATAAAAAACACTTTAAAAATTTTACTTTTCTATTATAATATAAAGGAAAAAAATTAAATCATTTAAAAAATAATATCATAAGAGCAACAAGCAACAACAAATATTTAAAAATAATTATATTAAAAACTAGCCAATAAAGGGGGGCGGGGGGAATTGTTACTTCAACGAATATGACAATAGTAAGGGTAAGTTATCAGATGTTCCCGTTGAGACTAGAAACGAGCTCAAACGCGTTTAAGATTTTTCTTGCTTTGAAGTTTGAAAGGTATAGTAACTTTCTACCTAATCATTCTTATTATACAAATTTACTCTCGATATGAGTAGAAATATAAGGGCAGAAACACAGGTTTTTCATTTTAAAAAACATTATTTTAGTTGGAGAATTTTTAAAATCAAACGATGAAACGAGTTTTTCGGAAACCTTTCAATTATCTTTTATTCATTTAATTCAAAAACCTTTTATTAGTCTTTACCTCTAAAATAAAAAATCAACCCTCTCATTTTTCTTCCCAAACTCACCCATCCAAGCGTGTACACTCCTTATTTTGCTATTTGGTTGTGACGAGCGTCACTTGAAGCACCAGAGATATCCTCTAATTTCAACAACTATCATATCGATGTCGTATCACATATCAGACTAGTGTTACGCAAAAATCTCGTATGGATCTCTAAATTGTGCTCAACACAAACAAGCATTTCAAGCAAAGGGGATTAAGTGAAAATTTAGATCATGTACGAACTTTTCTACGACCCTAGTCATTCAATTTATATAACCTATTGATCATAAAAATAGAAAGTCGGTTCTTCTTTATGTGACAATTATGGCTGTTGAGTCATCCGAAGAGCATTCGATTATATTTTCTGTTTTTCTTTTGAAATTAAGTTTTGAACAAAGCCTCGTGTTCATATTGGAATAATTACACAGCAATTAAGAGACAACTCCTTAACAAAATTGCAACTATACCACAGAAATTTCTATCTCCAAATTTTCTCTTCAATTTAAATACTTTTATTTCCTCATAAATCTCACACTACTATATCAACCTTAGGACATGTTTTCCCAACTTGAAGCCATACAACAATTTCCAGCCAATTCCTCCATCATTAAACTATAACTTTCAAAACCTAAATCCAATATTTAAATAGTATACGATACATTTCTAACCCAAAATTTTACTAATAGTTTGCTGTCATCTGATTACTAATATCAGTCGTTTGTTGCATACTTTCTGTATAACCATATATCAATGATCACCAAGTTGTAAATCTAATTGAAGCTGATACTCTATATTTCAGAAGGCTAGCTTAAGTTGCTTAATTCATAAAGATGCTACAAACATTCACAAATTAAATTAGGCAGCAAAGGGTAAAACTGAAAAAGTAGTAGTAACAGTAATAGTAGTCATAAGCGACAGCAAATTAGAAATAAGCTGAATATTTAAACAAATCAACAAGAGTACAAGACACATATACATGACTTGTATAAATTAGAAGTATATGCCAGATTGTCCGAAGTTAATCAACAATATATAAGTTAAAGATTATGCACCTTCAATTTCAGAAAAATTATACTTGGAACAAAGAACCTGCAGAAATGGAATAAAATCTCAACACAACATGAAAACACAGACAACAAAATGAAAACCAATACGCAAAAGCTAAGCATTAACAACTTTAACAACATAATGATCATACAGTCAAGATGAAACCAGACTATTTGAGCATTGCAGTCAAAGGCATCAAAAGGTGTGCCTAAGGCATTGAGGAAAGGCGCTAAAAAAGGATCAGTAAGTCTTGGTGCCTTAGGAGCACCTTCCTGGTTCAAGCAAGGCACGCCTTTAGCACCTTACTGATAACAGTAAAAAAATTCTGAAAGTCTAACCATCCAACCTGCTAGCTATGATGCTAACGGGGTAAAATAGTCAGGATGTTAAAAGAATAACTAGTAGTTGGCCTTCGATACTCTCAGCAACTTGCAGCTTCGGGTTTCGTTAATTGAATGTCTTTCATTGTTACTAAAAATTTTATGCTTGAGTAGTTAATTTCTGCCAAAAATCAATGCAAAATAGTCAAATATTTTACTGGTTTTTCTTTAATGTTAATGTATTTGTTTAGTAAGGCATGCGCTTTTTGGCACCTCTCACTAGGAGAGATAGAAACCACTTGGACATGGCACCTTTCTTCCTTCTACTTGAGTAAAAATACATTGTGCTTTAAGCATGAAATATACTACATGCCCAGAGTACTATCGTCCAGTTTAGCTTAATGACTTAATTTTCAGGGCTTTTATCCGTCATAGTTCTAGGACTATCTCAGTCTGTGAGATCATCCAATCCTAGAATCCCAATACCTAACTCTTAATTCAACATTGCATCTACAGCTATCAATTTACTATCATGGTACAGATAAACTTTCAAACCTAGCCATATAGTGTTAAACTTCATACAACTCATTTCCGCCATTTCCTTATCAGCCATAAATTTTCGGACAACTGGTAGCCTAACACATGTCTATGTATATGCCTTATTGATGATTGAGACAAAAGGTGCTAATAGCTAAAGTAGACTGATATTTGTAAAGCATTTCCCTTGTTAAATAAAAATAATAATAATAATAATAAAAAATTCTGATATGACTTATTATACTCAAGGTGCACCAGCACAAGACCACGGTGGTAATAGATAAACTGAGGTAATGGCACAAAAAATAGAACTGAAATTAACCAAACCTGAAGCAACATTGGACACAAATAAGTTAGTAGTTCATCTATATGATGCACTCAGAATATAACCCATTCAACCTTTGATTTGACATCAGCAAATTTTCAGAAACTAATTTTAAGTCTTAAGCAAAACCAAAACATAATTTAACAAGTGGTAACAATTTAGCATGGCCTCGATAAAGCCTTAAACATAACCAGAAAAGACAGCAAGCATTGTAGCATAAGATAAAAAATATTAAAGCCAAATGACAAAATTTAATCAAAAGATTCTCATCTAAAACTATTAATTCCTGTTAGAAATAATAAGCAAGATGGTAACCCTACTTAAGCAGAACACAAGCAACCATAATGACACCAGGATAGAAAGACTGCTGTAATTAAACTTTATACAAGATCATATAACCGCGAAAAGCAGATTAGGCAGCTAAGCATCCCTAGCAAAATGTTCATTACCCAAGAAAACTTCATATTACCTGCAAAGTGGATGCCTTCTAAAGAAGTGCCTACCTCAAAATCTCTCTAATGCGCAAACACAGTGTCATTTCGTCTAGGCGGTCTGTCGGGAATAGATCCTGGCTTGAATTTCGAAGCTTCATGCCTTGCCAATTCAGGTGGAACAGTGCTATTGCTTTGAATGAGCATCTGTTTGAGGTCATAAAAGACATCAGTATCCTGAAGAGTCAGGAATGTTGTAGCCACACCTGTCTTTCCAGCACGACCAGTACGCCCAATACGATGTGTGTACATTTCAATATTCCCAGGCATATCATAGTTGATGACATGAGCCACATCAGGTATGTCAATCCCACGTCCAGCAACATCAGTTGCAACAAGAACATTGTATCTCTTGGTCCTAAATCCTTCAAGACTAATCTCCCTCTGCTCCTGTGATTTCCCTCCATGCAAAGTAGTCACACGATAGCCTTCCTTGTCCAAATTCTTGGCAACCATATCTGCATTCTTCTTGGTGTTAACGAATACAATTGCCGTCTTGTCATTAAGCTCGTCAAGCAATCTCTGAAGCTTATAAAATTTCTCAGATTCCTTCATCATGTTGACATGCTGGCTGATCAAGTCAGTAGTCTTTCCAGCAGTACCTATGGTCACCACAACAGGATTCCTTAAATATTTCCTAGCAAGCCTCTCCACAGCGGGTGGCATGGTGGCACTGAACATATATGTGGTCCTATAAATCTTCTTCTCATCAAGCTCTTCATCTTCATTCTCAGGTTTCAGATTGCTGGAAGGCATGGCATCCAGTACCCCCATTACCTGGGGTTCAAATCCCATATCAATCATACGGTCAGCCTCATCAAGAACAACATAATTGCACTGGTTGAGAACCGCATAGCGTCGCTCCAAGCAGTCAATCAAACGACCGGGAGTGGCAATTACAATTTCACAACCTTGCCTTATCTTAAACCCTTGCTCCTCAATAGACTGTCCACCAACAATGGAAACAACCTTGATGCCCATATACTGAGCAAACTTAACAGTCTCATCCTCGATCTGCTGCGCAAGCTCACGAGTAGGTGCCATGACAACAGCATAGGGGCCCTCAGCCTCATTCTCCTCACTAATGGGAGGAAGCCTGGTGATGTAACTCAACATGGGAAGAACAAAAGCAGCTGTCTTCCCCGAACCTGTCTCGGCAACGCCAATGACATCACGTTGCTGCAACCCAAGAGGAATTGCAGCCATCTGAATGGGAGAAGGGGTCTTGTAACCAGCCTTCTCCACAGCCTTCAAGAGCTCAAGGCTCAACTTGCTCTCAATCCAGCTCCTCATTGGCCGAGGAATCTTCGAACCCTTGTAAGAGATGTTGTAGTCCTCCCTGAATATACGCCAATCCCTCTCTGTCATCTCTTCAAGCTTCTTCTCGCTCCAATGGCGGTCCACTCTCATGTCAAACGTATCATACATATCAGCGGCGGCCTCCTTTCGCCGCTGTGCGTCTGCCTCCTCCGGCTTCTCCTCCACACCGTCCTTCTTACGGATTTGCTCCCGCATCTCCTTCTCATTCTTGGCCGCCAGCTTCTTCTGCTCACGGCGGTCCATCCCAGCACGAAACCCCCGCCCGAACAGCAGTTGAGCCTCGTGAGGATTCTGGTACAGCACGTTCATGTCACGCGAGGTGTCCTCCGTGTTCTCCCAATCGAAGGAGAAGCGGAACTTCTCGCTGGGTTTGATAACCCGCTTCTTAGGCTTCTTGGAACCAAGGTACTGCTCCTTGATTGATTCCATCTCTTTCTCGCGCTCTCGCTCAGCCAATTTCTCCAAACGAGCACGCTCGCGAGCCCTACCCTCCTCTTCGCGCTCCCTCTCTCTGTTTCTTCGCTCAGTTTCACGGTCTCGATCGCGTGCCCTATCACGCTCACGGCCACGGTCGCGGTCCCTGTCTCTATCCCTATCCCTATCTCTATCTCTATCCCTATCCCTATCCCTGTCTCTATCCCTATCCCTATCCCGGTCGGAGGAGAGTTTGGGATCGGAGGGGCGGTTACCTGAAAGCAGCTGTTCCTGGAGTCGCCTCTGTTCGGCGATATCTTCTTGGCGGCGTTGAAGGGCGAGTTGCTCGCGTTGTGCTTTGGTTAGGAAGACTGGCTTGGATGTGGTTACGTCGTCGGTGGAGCGTTTCATGGTTTTTGAAGTTGCAATGGCAGAGAGAGAGAGAGAGTAAAGTAAGAAGAATATGAAATTATAGAGAGAGAGAAAGAGATCGCTTGGTTAATAGCAGGAGGGGAGAGCAGCGCTCAAACACAATACCAGACCTGATTCCAGACACTTCTATTCCTCTACTCTATTTGCTTTCCAAGCAGTTTTCCTTTCTGAAAATTAATAAAAAAAAAATGACAGAACTTGGGAGGGCTGGTTCTTGCCATATTTGGGCAAGGCCCAGTTTCAACACACATAAAATAGAATTGGGCCCATATATTTAGGTGTATACTGTATAGGTTTATTAGTCTGAGGTACCATAACAGTGATAATAATTGAACAAGTTACTTTTGGCAGTTTTGAATGTTGCTTCATGAGAAAGGATTTATGGCAGGTTTGGATGTGATTTTTTTTTTCTCCAAAAGTTAATTTTTGTAAGAAAATAAAAAAGAACTTTTCAAAGAAAAAATAAATTTATTTGGATGCCTACTTTTAAAAAAAGTTATAAAAAGAGCTAAAAATTTATTTTTTTAAGTTAAAAATTTTAATTTATAAAAAAAGTAAAAGTTAAAAGTCAAATATATTCTTTTCAAAAACCAAATATTTAAAAAAAAATATAAATAGTTTTATCTTTTATAAAAAATATTTGAAAAATAAGTAAGGCACAAAAAATATTTTTTTTGAAAACCCATCCAAACTGACTTTTAATATCGGACCTAGAGGTATTCCGCCAAAATAATAATTCATAACATATATCAAATAGTTCAGAAAAATAAAATAAAATATACTTTAGTTAGACCACTTTTGTTTGTACAAAGTGAACTCCTAAATTTATATGAGAAATTTGATAGCAAATACATTAATTCTTGAGAAATTAAAACTCCACCTACAAATATTGACTACATCGGTCTTTCTCAATAAAACAAAGTGTTCGGCAGCTTGTCGCCGTGTCGGAACGTGTCAGACACGACTTTCCCTGTTTTTACAAGTATCCTTTGGGTATAAACCACTTCTATTTTCTAAGGTACGACTGAATCCTAACAGCAACAATCAGTCACTTGCATATTCCAAGCCTAAAAACACTCCCAAAATTAAAAAAGCCTTCTTATACATATTTAGTATTTACTCATCTGTTTCCAAAAAAAAAGTATTTACTCATCTCGGTGATAAAAATCTGGACCTAAATAACCATAACATATTGGGCCAAAAACGCTTAATTGGGACAAAACCTCGGGATCCATCTTCATCATGTGAAACTCTGGAACTGCCCGTGTCACTGGAGGGTGGTGAAGTGCTGTCAATCATCTGGTCAATCACTTCTCTTCCCTCGCATATGATTTTAATATCACAGCTTTCTTGTACATTTATGAGTACCTTGTCCGCTATGGCATTTTTACTTCTAGACCCAGATTTTCTACTCATCCAAATAATAAAACAATTAGAAAATGCTATCATTATAAATTTTGAGTCACATATGAACTGCTGGTACGTACCTCAAATTAGATTTGGTAGTTCCAATCACCAATTTCCTTATATTAAGATTCCCGACAAGGTCCACGATTGCTTTAGCTACGTTGTCACTCTCAATAAGCATCATCTCCACCTTAACCTGCTTGTCAGTAATGTTCCCATCATTAAATCTATCTTCAATCAATGCTAAAAAGCCTAGTCTCCTTAAGAACTGAGATGATATATATATATATATATATATATATATATGGGTCAGGATCATTTTACAGTTACACTCTCAATCTTGTCCACGGATCTCACTTATATCTAAGGGCTCAAATTTTTTAGTAATGTGAGCCATTGAATACAAGTGGATCAATGACCAAGATAGAGTGTAAGACTTCTAACTCTTACATCGGTGTAAGAATATCCTGCCCTATATATATATATATATATATATTACGTTTACAAAGCAGGGATTTCTGTACCTTTGAATCAATGCATAGGTCAATGAACTTTCGAAGGAGCAATTTCCTCTTGCCTTTCTCTTGGGTCAAGTAGATGTTAACATACTCTAGATTTACCCGACTCCGTGGAATTTTTCCCACTGTTATTGAACATTCAAAATAATATAATATTGCCAAGCACATACAGACATAGCTAATTAGTACTTTATTAAAATGGCGGCAACATATTGTTTTTCCACCCATGGCTTACACCATCTGGTCAATCAAGATGATAAGAAGTAACAAGGGCTCTTTTATTTTATTTAAGAGATTATCCGCCGGTAATTCTATGTAGATTTTTTATGGATTAATTTGAAATTTGGAATGGATTTAAAATTAAGATTTTAAACTTTTCTCAGAGATAATAGAAGGGCTCTTTCTTTAAATTGACCATTTTAGAAGGATAAACAAATACAGATAACTTTCAGGGTTATTATAATCTTTATAATTATAATTTTCTAATCTTTCATTCTCAAAACATCGTCGTTTTGAAAGTAAATACAGATAACTTATTTGCATTAACTGCAGAAATATTTTTCTGTTACTAATATGTTAGTATGTATAATATGATTTTGAAAATTAACAATAAATACCTTCTTATCTTCTTATGAATAAAACTATAAGAAAAATATTTCTGCAGTTACTGCATATAAGTTATTTGCATTTATTTTCAAAATAACGTCGTTTTGGGATTGAAATATTAAAAAATTATAATTATAAAGAATATAATAACCCTGAAATAAATTAAAATTACAAAAAAGAGCATGATTTTCGTCCCAAAACATCGTATTGGACTTACTGCAGATAAATTATCTGCAGTAATTGTAGAAAAAGCGAACCCTATTAGTAATTAATGAATGAACATGAAGTTTATGATATAGAATTTCAATATGGATCTTATAGTATGACGAGTTATTTTATATATTATCCGTAAAATTTGGTTTGAAAATAACCACAAACATATTTTTTTACAAGAAATCATCAAATCCCAATTACCAAAATAACTTGAAGGGGGTTATTTTATTTCTTCGACATAACTATAATGAAGTGAAAAATGGAAGAAGGCGTAAGAGAAAATGGGTAGAAAAGAAGAAGAAGACTTACATGGACTTGGAATGAGCTTGACTTGAGGGAAAACATGAATAAGACAGACGGTGGTTGAGGGTGTCACGGCGTGCTTCAACGCCCATGAAAACGCTTCCATGCTCGAATCTCCATCACCACCAACTGCCACATAAACAACATCTTTCTGGTTTGTGTGATCAATATCAAGAGAGAACACAGTGCTCTCACAGTCATCCAAAAGCTCCTTCACATTGATCTCAAACAACTCCTCTGAATCTTCTTCGTCTCCAAACAATTGGTTGCAGCTGGAGGAATCATAGTGCAAGCACTCATCATCGTGCTCCGTTTCCCATATTGTTGTTGACATGATATATATTTGCCTTGTCCAATTCTACGTCAAATATTTCGTTTCTTTTACCGTTTATCGATTTGTGATCGATCTGGAAAAACAAAAGAAAAAAGACGTTGACTACGAATCTATGATTTTGGGTTAGAGCTTCATCATTATATTTATGTATACGTAATTAAGACGAAACTAGAGGGCAGAGATAACAAGATAGAAGGATAGGTTACAGCGTATGTTTTATTTATTTATTTATTTTTGGTAGTTTGTTTTATTTTTTATTTTTTTATTTTTTTATACAATAGAGTGTTTGTATACCTTTGGCTGAGAATAATCAAAGCAACAACAGCAGTCCTTCGTACTAGATTTGACTTTTTCCTTGTTTTCCCTTAAGATATGTGGCAATATATCAAATCCTTTTCATCCAGTTATTTATTCGTATATATATATATATATATATATATATATATATCAAATTTGAGGTATGCTTATTTATCATTTTTTATTATCTGATGCTTTGACCACACCATTTGACTAGTTGATCGACAATTTCTAACAGAGTAAGACTTTAAACGATAGCTACAACTTCCAGGCCATAACAATTACGGTACAAATTTTACTCCGACTGTTGTTGGTTGATACGTGTAAGATTACCCCATACTGTAATTGGTTGCATGTATCAAATGTAAAGAAAATCAATCGCATTAATTGGAGTTTAGTTTGACACTCTATACAGAAGCATTCATCTAAGGGAAAAGAAAACTGTAAATCAATCATTGACTAGCTTAGCTTTTAAATTATCAAAGTCGTGTATAATAGGTACATAGATATCTTGTATATATATTCAAAGTTAAGTGAGAACGCCGAACAGAATATGCCTTTTGTCATGACGTAACTGGCTGCACACCCCCTTTAAAGTCAAATGCTTAGTTTAATATGAAAACAATTATGATCATAAGGATGATTACGTAACACTAAAAAAATATTTTAACACCAAATTAATTTTTTAACACATTCATGAAAACAATTATTGAAGAATGAAGAATACGCACAAGAGAACAAAGTAGGTGGAGGTGATAATTAATATGTTTGATCCTCTTCAATATTATCTTTAGGAGTAGTTTAAAGTCTTAATCCTAAAATCCGCTTCAAATCAGACTAATCGCGAAGTGATGAATCGATTAAAATATTTCAACAAAAATAATGAAGAATACAGAAAAATTGCACGCGAACAATATTGTCAATATTATTGAAACGTACGTCATACCTAGCTATGCCGAGAGAATTCATATTTGACCGAAAAAAGATTTAAAAAAAAAACCAAAGGATAAGGAAAAGTAACAACAAAATGAACAAGGGTAGCTCCATGAAAAACGTCATATATGGAAGGACAATCAGAAATAGAAAGAGCTCTTAAAAGATAGATAGAACACAAAGGGAACCATGATTACAAGTTAAAGTAAATAAAAAATTTCGACCATTAAAAGAACCTTGAGTACATATTTTACTTTAGTAACATCACCTTATGGAGTCATGTGAGGAGAAAAGAGAAAAAAAAAGAATTTATATATTTTTATGTATATGTAGAAGATAATTTTATATCTTACAAAAGAAATATTAAACCCTAAGATTATTCCTTTCCAAAATTAGCTTTTATCTCCTCTGCTGAAATTTCAAAGTCATTCATTACGAGTTAGAGAACTTGACTAAGCTATGGAACGTATCCGCTTAAGTTGCTGCAATTCAGTTACACACAGTAATCATCTAAACTTTGGTTTGAAACAAATACATGAAACCGAATCATGTTGTTGATCTTCTTCATTAATTCTGGTCATGGAAGTGTCATTAGCAGAGGTTCGAGCTGTAAGCGTCTGTGGAGGAGGTGACATCATCTCCTCATTTACTTCCTTTCCTTCACATATAATTCTCACCTTGCAACTTTGTGGTGCATTGTGCAATATCTGATGGGCTACGCCATTCCCTTTCCTTGATCTTGATTTTCTGTTCATCGATCCAAAATGTAAGTGCTGAAAATATGAAATGCTTATATATGTAAGGCTAAACTTAATTGAAGTTCTACCTGGATACATAATGGTATAATTAAGACCGTACCTTAGATGGAATTTGTTGGCTCCGATCACTAAATTTCTTATCTGAAGAATTGGAATTAGGTCGAGGATAGCCTTTGCAACTAAGTCACTCTCAATCAGGATGGTGTCTACCTTAACCTGTTTTGAATAATTTTTGTTACTTTTATATATCTCTTAGTTTTATGGAATTGAATAAGGGTTTAGTCTATAATTGGAATATTCATTAGAATCAGTACCTTGGAATTAGAGCATGATTGGAGGAACTTGTGGAGGAGTTCTCTCCTCTTGCCTCTTTCTTGGGCCATAAAACTCTCCACTTGCTCAGCACTCACTTGATTCCTTGGAACCATTCCTATTCCCACTGTCATGTATAACAGAAACGAAGTGGCAAGACACATTAATCCACACACCTTTAGATCCATCATCCATGTGGAGAGATTTGGTTATTAATAACAAATTACATTTGAGGAAATTAGCATTTTCACTGAAACGTACTCTAAAAATTTATTTCCGTTTTTTTTGGTTCAAAACAGGAACAATCTCAAAATTTAGATTTTGCTCTTTAATCATTTACTTGGTATGGGACAACATTTGTTTACTGAAAATAATGGTTCGTTTTACATGTACCCTCATAATAGATGCATAGTTTGAAGTGAAAAAACCAAAATGCCAAAGGAAAAAAAGTTGGCAATCAAATAAGAGTTTTGGATCAATATATAGCTAGCAGATATTTGTTTCCACCCCCGTGACTTTTTTGCCACCTCATCTTCCAAGATTTTCAACCACTTTCCCACAACTTCAACCTTATAGGTAGGCCTAGCCTATGAGTGCACTGGGTTTGACCAACTTGAACCCATGCATCTACCATTGATTGAGACAGAGAAAGAAAGAAAGAAAGGAAGAGTGATGGGAAATTTATTACTATTAGGAAGGAAGAGAGGGACTTACATGGATTTGGTATGTGGTTGATCTCTGGGAATACATGAATGAGATAAAGTGTGGTGGAGAGAGTAGCCAAGTTCATGAGTGTCCATGACAGAGCTTTCATGCTTGTCTCGCTCTTACCGACTGCTACATAAACACAGTCTTGTTCCTCATTAATGGTATTGGTGGCCATAGACCCATCATGGTGGTGGGTCTCGTCGTCCTCTTCCTCTATCTCACTCACACCATAGTTGAACATTTCGGAGTTTTCGTGGTATTCCATGTCCATGGACCCACCTTCATCTGAATGGTGTAAGGTCTCCGTTAACGTTGGCGCCGACATATTAGCAATATTGAAGAACAAATTAATATTTGGGTTTAGAAGAGAAGAGATCAATATTATTACTTTTTTTTCTGGTGGCGGCGTGAATGAAATGTTGTTGAATATTAAGATGGAAAGACAGGAAAATGAGAAATTAGGAAGAATCTCCCCCTTTGCTTGTTTAATTATTTTCTTCCCTTCTCTTTTTTTGTTTTTTTTTTTGTTTTGTTAAGAACAAGGTATGGGGTTAATGAATTACCCATTCATCAACGGTGATATCACCGTTGAATCGCTCAAATTAATTTATATAAAAATATATGATAAATAGAATAGCAACACTATATATTAGTGATAAACCTACAACTTTATTAATATTTTGCATAAAATTTCGGAAATCGGATCGACTGCAATAACTAATCGACCGGGTTTCGTGATTAATCGGTAAATTCACTTTGATTCTCTATCGACCAAGAATTTTGGACCACTACCATGGTTAAAGCTGGGCAGTTTGAAATTTAGGCGCAGTGTAGTAATCTTTTTACCACGTTGTTCATACAGAAATGGTTTCAAAAAAAATTTGAAATTTTTTTGATATAGAACACTCATATTGATAAAATGGCTTAAATTCCCCTCATGGTGGAAAAACGGGAGCCCAAATTTAATAATATTGACTGATATGTTTGGCTCAATTTCCAAAGTGATAAATAAATAAAAAGATATATTTTTCTTATGTTGTAGGAAAAAATTATCTTATGTTATAGAAATAAAAGTATAAGTGAGACCCCAGGTAAGAGGAGAGAGAAAAAAGAGTGGTGAGACTCAACTCCTTTTTGGGTGTGTAAAAGAGTTGTTTATCTTATGTAAAATAAGATAAACATAACCCATAAATAAATACATTATGTGTTTCAATTTTCAATATGGTACCATATTTATTAAAAAAAAATATTGCACAAAAATTGAAAAATCATTTGTAGGAAAAAAACAATTCTCAGAGAAAATGTTTTCCCATAAACTATTTACCTGAAAGAGATCAATTTAATTATAAAACGTGTGTGCCTAAGAATATAGCTGAAAGTTGTGTTCAATCTCACAAAAGTATTTACTGTATTTACTTGAATGAGGGGTTAAGAAACTACATCGTGCTAGTCGGTTGATTTTTATTTTTTATTAGTATACACTTAAAGTTGCATTTTATACGCGTGGCATGTATATGTGTACAGAACAATTTATTTTTTAGAAACTATTTCTTTATAAAAATATGTTTTTAGATAAGCAATTTTTTTGTTTAGCATTTTAGAAAAAACAGCCTAAGATCCTCAATGAAAAAAAATTTCTTCCTTATGAAGGGAAATTTCTTTAGTACCGAATTCAGTATTCTTTTTTATTAAAAAAGAAATTTTTTTTTCTCTAATTTTACCCATATTATTTTGTATAAATACTTTTAAGATCCAAGAACTTTTTCTTTTTAATATGAATATACCTAAAGCAATTGCACCAAAGGTTTTCTCTTGACGAAGAATAAGCAATCAGACAGACTGCTTCCTCCTTCCTAAGTTGCATATTTGGCATTAGGACGTGAAACAAAGGTAGAGTTTGACTTTTTTTTTTTTTTTTTATAACAATAAGGGGCATAGCCCCAAACAAAAACCAACAGAAAACTACAAACTATCCAGGGTCAATAATTCCATGGAGATCTTGATCAAAAAGATGAGCAAGCTACAAACTATCCAGGGTCAATAATTCCATGGAGATCTTGATCAAAAAGACGAGCAAGCTGAGTTGGCATGATTTGATGATGCCAAAATTCAGATCCTTTCTGAAGAGCAGACTTAGCTAACCAATCTGCACATGAATTTGCATCTCTAGAAATATGAGTAAGAGTAACCTCTCAGGTCCTGAGCAATAAGTGCTTGTATCTTAACCATGAGTTTGACTTTTGTGTATAGCGAAAACACGAAAGGTCTTGTATTTTTATATATTATTTTCTTTTGGGTTTTATCGTTGTTAAGTTACATAATATAACTTCACTTTCTTACACATACGTCAAAAAATGGGATCTATATATTTTTTTTTTCCTTTCATCATTTCACTTTCTCTCTCCATTGTGTGTGGAGGAAATAGAGTTATGTTATGTAACATAACAAATATAAAACTCATTTTTTTTCTCTATTTTATGATTTTATCATTATTACTTTGTTAGTTTTACAAAAGAAGTCCTAAACGAGGAAAAATAATTCTCTGCTCCCCTTTTTTCCCTCTTCCTCTCCTCTCTCCTCCCCTCTCTCTCTGGCAGTGCATTGCACTGGAACTACTACATACTGGCTCCTAAACGAGAGACAATGTTAGGACTTAGAATTCAGATAATAACTATACTTAAATTTTTTTTTCTTTATTTTAATATCAAGGGGAAAAACATGTTTTAAAATTGTTGGATAAAAGAATTGCTTAAGTTTATTGGATAAATTTTTTTAAACTAATACAATCAAATGCCTACTAAAATCAATACGGGGCATGTCTCGCACCTGATTAGTACATGACCTCTTGCCGCGTCAGCCTGCCACATCAGTCACGCATCTACGGAACTAGTGCCATTAGGAGTGTAAATGGGTCATATGAGGTCAGACTTTAACTTTGATAACTTAAGCTTATATAAAATATTTAGAGCCTATACTAGTCTATTAAAAACTAAAAAGCCTAACACGATTTATAAAGCCTACCAAATTACAAACTAAAGTTTATAGGCCCAAACCAAACTGAAATATAAAAGATAAAATTTCTTATTCATAATAAAGATCACATTAAATAATGTTTATAAAGATGACATAAAAATGTTCATAAAAATCACATTAAAATTTCATATATGTATATATACATATAAGAGGGGGATATTCTTACTACAAAAAAATTTACTGCCAACCCACTACCTATCTAATCACCATTGATCAGGGAGAGAATGCTGAAAAGTTTATAAAGAGAGAAAATGTTGATCCAATGATGATTAGATAGGTAATGGATTGATATTAATTTTTTTTTTGTAATAAGAATATCCCTCTCTGTATATAATTTGCACTTCTTTACTAATTTAATTTAATATTATATTTTAAATTTTCAATAAATATTTATTATTTGTTAAAATAACATCAATCATATTAATTTAAAAACTGATATTACAAATCATGATCTCAAAATATGTTTTTAAGTGAGCAATATATATCATAAATATATTATATTATTAAAAAAATTAAAAAGCTAGCCTGCAGACTTTTAGGCTAGACTTTTTAAAGTGGATCTATATATGGTTTTCCTAGACAAAAATATTAGATTTTAAGTCTATTTGTAGTTGTTTTTACACATAGTTATTTTATATTTTGATTTTTATTATCTCAGTTTTATTTCTCACTTTTTATTTATTTTTATATAGGTTTTAGCAAAAAAATACAAAAAAATCCAAAAAAGAGGAAAACTGGTCGTGTCATGGGCCATTTTCCAGAGAAGCCACGCTATATCGCGTGGTACCGCGTGGCCAACCTAGAATTTTCAGATCAGGCTATCATACATTGACCAGAGTTTCCACGCGATACAGCGCAAGATCCCGCGCGATGGAGCGCGGGAAGTACAAAAGTTGCGAATTTATGAGGGTATTTTTGGAAAAGTGGAAGAAATGAGATAAAAGTTATGCTCCTTTGGTGTTTGGCAGATACACACGGGTGGAGGCTAAGTTTTGGAGAGTTTTTCAGAGAGAGAATTCATTCTTCTTCATCTTTTTGGATCTAATTTCTGTTTTATGTTGGATTCTTGTATAGCTACCATGTCTATGGCTAGCTAAACTCCTTTGTTGTGGTTAGGGTCACAAGCCCTTGTGAACCCCTGATACGATGGATTGGGTTTTTATACTTTTATATATATCTTTTTATATTTCGTTTCTACTCTGATCGTATTGATATCATTTTTATTAGAATTGATCAATCTAGTAGTTAATGGTAATTTGGGGATTAGGGCCAACAAGAGGAATCTGTGGCTTTTAATCTAGAAAGGGGGTAGAACGATGGTATGAATGTGTTCTAGGGATAGACGTATTTTGTATTGCAGACGTTTAATTTATCGATCTCTATGCTTAATTTTATAGAGCACTCCATATGAGATTAAAGGGTTAATTCATCAAGGAATTGAGGGTTGACCATTGATATTTTATCTGATAAATTGTCTGATTATATTTATATATATTGGTATTTGAAATCAATCCGGAGTAAAAGGCGGGGATCATCGGTGAGTGTTCTCTAACTACAACGTTTTCTCTCATATTCTCTAAACCTTTTTCCTGTGTTAATTCCAATTAATAGAAAATCAAAAATACTTTTTAAATTGCAATTCAATTTCTACACAAATCTTGACATTCGTGTCAAAACGTCTTGAATCTTTTCATTTTAAAAGGATAGATTTTTTCTGATATTAGATACACTCCTTGTGGGTTCGACCTTTTCGTATTACTATATTACTTGTGCGATCGGTACACTTGCCGATTAACGTCAGGATCCATATCCGAATTTTTAAATAAACTTTTTTAAAAACCTAAACTTAAATTATTTAAAAAATAGATATGGGATAAGCCATACTGTAGCCTGTAGGTACTTGATAACCCCCCGTTTACACCCATAATTAAGTGGCACACCAATTCCACATGTTTTCTTTCTCCTAATAAGCCATCATACTTCCCTCCCATCCATAAATGTAAAGTAATTTTAATTACATGTACTGTCAAACCAAGGGGCATGATAAAAAGTTATACTTGCTCCTCTTTCTTTGCCATGTGTTAACTGATTAACTGATGTCC